ACCCAGCAGCCACAATGATCCTTTAAAAAGTGTAAGTTGGGCCCTGTTACTTCTTTGTTCAAAATCCTCCAAAGATTCCCTATTTGGCTGCTAACCCCTTAATTCTCTGACTTCACGTTATTCTCCCTCTCAATCATGCTGCTCTGTCACACTAGTCTTGAGATCCCTGGAACATACGGGGGCACATCCCTGTCTTGGTTTCTTTGCTCTAGCTGCTCCTTCTGCCTGCAGTGCTCCTCCATCAGCTATCTGCTTAGCTCACCTTCTCACCATTAAGTCTTCACTCAGATCTTCCCTCTCTTAAAGATCTATTCTGATCACCTGCTTCCATTGGCGGCCACCACGCCCATCTCACTCCCTGATCCCAGACCCTATATCCCCTGTCCTGCTATATATTTTTTTCTTTACATAGCACTTACTACCTTGCAGCCCCCTCACGGGTGCATTTGTCATGAAGCGAGTGAAACGTAAGCTTCAGGGCCCCTTTCTTGCATAGGTCCCTTCTACATCTCGGGGAGAGGCCCTAGCGATATGTACACATGGCTGCATGGTTCTGTAAGATTTGCAAGCATAATACATTTTTATTATAATTGGTTAAGACCATTGTCTGTTTCCACTCCAACTTCCTCTCTTTCAAGCTTTCCCTTTCACCAAGTGGTGCTGAAATGGCTTCAGGCATTTCTGAAGTCTAGCAAAGGGGAAATTGAGTTGGGGATACATTTAGTTTGGGTGTGGCTAAATGTCATTAGTGGTCTGCAGTCACTTCGCCATACAGCTCAGGTAGTACTAGCCATCTGGTGTGGGAAGAGCTTCCAGATAGATAGCTACTGCCTGCTGGTTAGAGTGTTGCTCTTTGACTGTGACTAGAGTGCCTGACACCAAAATATGTGGATATTGGAGGGGAAAATGGTGTGAAATTAACAAAGCCAACTAAGTTGTAGGAAATTCTTCTACATTTTACAGCTCATATTTTAAAGAAATCTGATTAAGGTTTCCCCAAACTTGCCAACAGTCCTAAACATTTTTTTTAATAAAATGACCAAGTTATGAAGTTGAGAGTAGTTTTTCTAATCAATAATAAAAATATTGTTGATTAACCGTTGAAGAGGGAAGATGGCATTATATTTCTATTCTTTCTCTCCTTTTAGACAATATTATAAAATTACCATATAAAGAGGTGATCAAAGACAATTCAGCCAAATTTTGTACATTGGATAGTTTATTAATGCAAGTATTTTTGGACAGTTTCTGAATTTTGTAATGTTTTTATTATATGTGAGCTTTTAAATATGTGTAAATTATTATGGTATCTTTACTCATTTTAAGTGAATGTTTTGTATCTAGTTTTCCATCTTTAATTCTGCATTCTTTTTGTTGAAGAGAACCCACCAAAATGTGTAAACTTCAAACCTCGTAAGACCTGAATATTCCCTGACCATACTGTATGATTTACTTAACTTGTTCTGTTCCTCATGAGTGAGAATTTTAGTTCACTTGTCTAACTTTTAAAAATATATATATTTTTATTGATTTCAGAGAGGGAGGGGGAGGTAGAGAGAGAGATAGATGCCGGGAGCCGGTCCATCCTTGCTGTTTCAAGGGACCTGGCATATATGGCATACTGTTCTTAATATGTTTGCTCACCTTCTTGGCACTATGTGTTTTAACCAAGGTCACCTCTCCGAGAAAGGTTGTTTCCCCACGTAGGGATTTTTCCCTGAAGTCAGGGAGGGGATAAAACTCCTTAACTAAGTGCCAGACGGGTAGTTAATCACTTTAACTACAAACAATCATGCTTAAGCTACGTAATCTTTACTCCCTGGACTGGAGATAAGAAACGCCCTAACCTTTGGAATAGAGATTGATAGGATTGGAATCAACTGGTATAAATACAGATGCAACAAGACAACAGGAGGCAGACCTCAGAAGACAGACCTTAGAAGACAGAGCTTAGAACACAGAACTCAGAACACAGAACTCAGACG